TGCGTCCAAGGTGCTATATTACTCGCACTCATTGTAAACCGCGTATTCGTGATCGTCAGGCCGTGAGTGGCTCACAGTGAGAGCAGCCTGTCACCGTTCGCTTTCGCTCTGTCATTACCACACGGACCGATTATGTCTCTACACTGCGACATCACGCCCAACGCGCACGTTGGGATCATCACGTAGGAATAGTCAGTTGCTCCTCGACACAGACCGTATCACGGAGGATAATTGAGTGTAGAATTGATCATGCGTGTCATCATGATAACACATTGTTGCTTATAAAATTGGCAAACTTACCTCTTCCGAGTCGTAGGCTAGCATTCACGCTAGCAGTCGCGCTGATCTTGGTTCACCCACCAGGTGGCCATTTAGGCGATCGGATATTGCAAATCCGACCCCATGTTCACATGGTGGGGTTGCCCACCCAGTAGAACGTGTAGCCAGCACCTGCTTCATGCAACTTACCTTGCTCAGTGAGCCGGGTTTTACTGAGCGCTGCAATATCGATCTTGTAGCGCGCCAGTTCCATCGCGACCAGTACAGGGCGTCGCTCTGGGCGCTCACTCGAGTTCCGGTCCAGTAGTGTGCGCACGTTCCAGCACCCGATTTTGAGTGCTTTATGCGCGGGCATACGATTACATTGGTGTGCAATTGCATGCCTCGTGGTGGCGGTTGTGCTTCGGAGATTTGCTTGAAGGATTCCGCCCTGAGCCTTTTGCACATTAGCGTGACCCACAAGGCCGTGAGGAGCAGATCCAGATCGGGAATGTGATTGCAGAGGCAAATTAAGATCTGCTTGAGGTCCGTCATACGCAGCGTTCGAAGATCAGGAACAATTCATTTGTTTTGTGGCCGTAGTATGACACACACCTCCGAATCACGTTCAGATGCCGGAGTGTTTTGGCGAGTTTGCACCTATTTGACCAGGGGCTGCGTGTCTTGAGGGGGGCAGTGGAAACCCTTGAGCACCCGGAGTTGGCTTTCCATCATTAGATACGATAGGTGGCGCTCGTGCTGTGAGCTTATAACCCGTAAACCTGTTTTCTCCCATTGCTAGGTTTACGGGAAGAGGGCCACCGACCACTTCCTAACCTCCGAAGAGGATGGACTAGGATACTGGCAGGGCACCCACACCTGATAGGAGAACAACTCGGATCCTCAGCCAAAGTCTTGGATTAAAAGTACACCCGAAATGCACCGGGTCTGGGACATGTTCAGTTCACTGACTCATGCGGTTTGGTGTCCTGGATCTTAGCAGGGAGAAGGGGATAACCCAGCTCGCACCCAGCGGTCGCCACATATGTATGATTGGCGGCATTCCGTTTCCGATTTGCCCGTCACTGTGAGCAGCCACAGGACGCCTGCGTGTACAGAGGGACCATGGGTGGCTTGCGCTGCACCACCCACAGCTCCATCCACACACCCCATATCCAGTGTACACCCGAAGGAATAAGACCGGGAGGCATGTGGATGGGAGCCACGTTTCATCAACGGAGCCGTACCACGCTCCTTCACAAGGAAACATAAGCACGCTGTATTTGGGAATCAAGCGCACACATGGCGGTGGCTGGACCGTAGTCCGCTCCACACAGTGCATGAAACGATTCTTCGAGCCTAGCACGGCCACAGAGACCGTGCACTCTCTCCCCTCCAGCAACGACCAACTGTCTCCTGGAGCCGGTATTGACGAGGTAGTGGGTAATAGACAGGTAGGCAAATTGTCAACATGCACATCAGGCGCAGTCACACCGGGGGTATCAAGCAACAGACAAACATGAAATAACCAAATAAAATATATCTGTTAAAGCATACGGTTATGCAGATATAACTCTTCGCTAATTTAGCATATGAAGTATGTTGGTTAGCAACGAATCGGCGATAAGTACAAAATGTCTAGAAGTTGTTCGAAAAACGCTAGCAACGCAACAAAGTTACCGAAGATGAGCGCGATTAGCGTGTGCAATGTGTGCAAGTTAATAGAATATTATTTAGGTAGGCAGAACAAACATCGTAATGCTTGTAGCTGCAATACTCTTTTGTTCTGAAAACATAGTGTACGGACCTTCATTTTTTCTTTAACTATGTCTCATCCAATTAGCCTACTTTCTTCTTCGGCTTACACATTGAATTGGTCATAATATATGCTAGTAAGGCAATGAGCAATTTCTCCTTACTGAACGCCTCGGTCTATTCTCCGGAACCACTTCAGCAATTCGTTGTCGTGCGAAGTGGTGATACAGCTCTTTCGCTATAATTTAAACATATTTGCTGTCAGCCAGTGCTTCCTCTTCATGTCTGTACTGGTCCAAATCCACTTTCTAGTTTAGACCTTCTGGGGCCTCTCGAAACACTATCAGCACTTTGTTGTGTCAAACATTTTATGTTCGGTGGTTTGACACACATAGTCCCAAATACAACTGATCATTTCGTGCTAACACCTGTATTTTATGATCTATTCAACGTTATTTTGGTTCAGTTTCGGTACGATGCCTCTGGAATCTGCACCTGATAGGCCTTGCATAACATCTTTTATACTGAATGGCTACATACACGCGAATGTGCATCAGGTAAATACTGATGTTGCTTCTTAGATCGAGTGAATAAATTTTTATTTATTTATGAAACGAGTCCATCACTAAAATAGAAAATTTTGCAGATTCTACGGGTTTTTTCATGCTACTCATTAGCTGTTTTTCTTTTCATTGTTTTGTAGTCCATATATCCTGTGTATCATGACGACCTATATGAATGTTCTCTCTTGATAGCGAATTACTGTCACATAAACTATGTCTGGATTCGTCAAACTTTTCCTATTCGTAGAACAGGCTCCTTGACAGCACATCCACTTGTCATATTTTATACCCAGGTAGATATATAGTATCCAAGTCGTTTTTCTGGAGATGAATTTGCAGCTTCCATGAGCGACTTCCTCCGAATATGTAGTTTTATTGCGGTTTACATCACGGGTTTGTTGTCCGTGAACGCGGTACTTTTCATTCCTGACCTTCTAGCGGGAGTTTAGTGAGTGAGTGCTTGGAGAAACGAGCTTTCATTTCGACACTGGTAGGGTGCCTGTGTACCACCTCTAAAAAGACGCCGGTGTGATGCGTTGCTATCTAGGCGAAATGTAGCGGTACGGCATGTGTAGCAGTTGTCCAAAATAGTCCAACCGAACTGCCGTGTAGCAATCGGTGCTTGGTTCAACTAAACGGTTTTAACATGCAATCAACACTGCACCGATCGTTCAAGTGTACAATAAGGTAGCAATCTTAATTTGAGATAGACCGTGGAAATTTCGAGGCTACCCCTACAACATGCAATCGTTGGTGCGCTTAACGGTATGTACATAGAGAGAAACACTTGTTCTCAGAACCGGTGAAAGGCTATACCTTTACCATTTCAACATAGAGAACACGTCAACCCGCTTTATAATTATGGCGCACTCACGAACCTCTGTTATTCATTTGAGGGTTTTGTTAGCGGATCCGGAACGCATGGTAGCCGAGTGGTTCTGACTCTGGTACGGGTAACCGATTCCATCCTGCGTAGGCTCGGGTGACGTTGCAGTACCTCTAGGCCCCGCAATTGACGCGACAATGAAGCGTCGGTCTAATATACTAACGAACTACTGATACAATTTTCCTTTCTGTCACACGGTTGAAGGGCACATATGTACATAAGTTGCATATTTCTTGACTGCGAAAGATACCGTTTAACTAGGTGGTCTGATCAATAAGTACAATGGGATCGCAATGGCAAATATTTTTTCGGACCAGCTGCTGCGCGGATACAGTTGCATTGGCTTTCGTATCACACTACACTCGCTGACATATGATTCGTACTCTCAAAGGGCAGCGTCACTGACTTTATTGCAAATCGCCGAACAACCACTCGAAAGGGGCATTCAGTACCCTTTGCTTTCGTATTACTTCTGGGGTCATGACCATCGAAAAGAGTCCAGCACATGTTCGTATGGCCCGTCTGGTTCCTCACATTCTCACTCTACTATTAGTTAGTTGGCAGTGGAACAGCACCGTCCACCTGCCTGCGCCACTGTATGGTTTGGAACCACAGCTACGTGCTTGTTAAGTTCATCGGCTGTTTTTGACGTAGATACCCACGAATTGTTGGCGGCGCTGGACGAGTAATATATCCCACCCTGCATTTCGAGTTGATAAATAGACTGTTATTTTGTCATCACTTCTGCCCGCATTGTTTGTCTTCGCCATTCATGATTGCGGGGCTATTTAACGTGGTTAATCGCGTACGTGAATGTTTATCTGACCAGCTTAGTCAATTCTCTTCGCATGCCAAGTATTTCAATCGCGAATTCACCAATCCACTCTGCTTTTGTTCGTTCTCTGACCCTTTTACCCAATGGTTTTCTTCTTACTTTTCCGCCGATTGCTTTTCCATCGGCACATTTCGTTTTCTCCCATCAACATCTTGTGGACGCTAGTTTTTACAACCGAATCAGCTGTGTTTCGGTGTTTGACGATGTTCGATCAACCAGACTGAGCCGGACTGACCTCTTTGTTATCTACTCCATTTTAGGCTAATCTACTTTTTATTTACTCCAGTTACACTGGCTGTATCACACTCAGATACATATACAATACTTGGGCGATACAGCATTAATTGGCTTCGTTCTTTTTCATTCATGTTTGCAGCGAGCACACATCGTTTGTCCGATACAGTGGCAATCAATCCTGAGCTTGTGCCATTAACTAGTTTCAACTGTTTAACGATTTTCTTTGTGTCACTTGCTTGTTTTACCTTCTGTCTGCCACTCTTTGTTCGTGTTTTATCTATACTTACTGACGAAACATGGTGGTTAACTCCACATTTGTCCTTCGTTGCTCCACTATCGTTATCATTATGATGAATAAACGCATTCTGATTGATGTCGAAGCTTTCGTTTCGCACTCACCTGTTTGATTCTGTACTTGGAATTGGTCTACGTAGCTTGACCTTCCGATCTTCTTTGTACCCTTCAGTCCGTCTTTTTCGGTTACCCAAGCTCTCTAATGATCCGAAAATATCCTCACCTACCTGCGTCACTCACGATATCCACGTTGTTTTTGATGCGAACACCGGGGAATTCCGAGTAAGTGCCACATCATTAAATTGCCTGTTTTGTCTGACACCTTTTCGGCTGTGCCAATTAGTCTGATATGTTTCTGGTTGTATCACCTTCACTCTGACATTATCGTTCCACCAGCGTCGCATTGTTGAGCAGACAAACACCAGATGCTTGTTGTCGGCAACTATCTTCGAACGACCATTTGTTCGATAACTGAACGCGTCCCTCAGATATCTTTTTTATGCTATCTAGCTACGAAGTTGAACTGCCACAGCATGTGTGATCCTTTTAACTACCGGTGCACTTGCAGTGAAGGTTAAAATGTCTACATCCACTATTTTATCGCCGCCACGCTGTTTCACTGCTCACTATCGCAGATTTGCTGACTGTTCGTAAAATGGTGAACCCAATATCTGACGTACAATGCTTTCCTGCCGCACTTGGATGATCTTTGTGCATTTCGAACGCACCAACTGTTGTACACCTTTCTGTTTGCTGTATATGTTTACATTCTCTAGACCTAACCCTGAGCTATGACAGCAGCGCTGTTCTGCAGAGGGTACTTTGAGCTCGGTAAACTCGCCGCGCTACTTCCACGCAAATTGCGACGGACACCAGGCACTTTTTTCAAGTTTTTTTGTATCCTGATTCCGACTTCTTTCTATCCGACCATGCTATTTTATGCTTGTGGTCATCGGATCAAGATATCAGCAGTACGCAGGCACACTGTACCGACGCTTCACTGCCACGCGACCACCACCGGTCGCGCGTGGGCTGAGTATACCTCGAGGACTCTCACCCCTACGCGGATTCGAACCGGTGACCTAAGGATTGAAAGCCAGGCGTGCAATCCTTTCGGCCACCGGTCGGATATGTTGAATCGTATTTAACACACCGCATCACTTGCACAATACCCGCAGATTATCTTGGTAGACAACTTAGTGCATGTGTGTATTCATTCGTCCTATGACTACCTTACGTAGAGATACTCCATGCATAGTGACATTGGGTAAGTATTTATTCCATAGTCCTCATACCTAAAAGGTTGATCACAAATCATGGACGTTTACCGTTCCCTTGTGTACTTGTTTGGAACCGTTCATGTGTCAGTCCGGTACTTGCCGGACATCTTACTTTATCATTTAGCCAAGGCCTCAAGGCGATGTCCCCAGACTTTGTTTACAGCGGGGTCGTTTGCTTTATCGCTTGTCGTCTACTCCAACTCATCTCTCCAGAAACTTGTCACTGTGGCAATCTGGGGAGTCGGCCATTGTGTAGCAAGGACGAGGTGACACGAAGGTACCATCTTTATTGTACGCGACCCCGACTTGCCAAGCTATCACGCACGCGCATCTATACTCGTAACGTTTTCTTATTACAACACACTACACATTGTAGACCACTGCATCCGTGCGCCGTCGAATTTTCCAGCATGTTTGACTCCGTACGCTCTCTTCCGTAAGTCGCATTCTAACTAACTTGACTTTGTTCTAAGGCTCCTGACTTGCTAAATCACGGTTGCATCACTCTACTTGGGGTTACTCCTGAGTACACAAACAAAGGACTATATAACCGAATTATTGGCCTTTGATCTAATGCCTTCTCTGTTCTCCTTGTTTTCCGCCTTTTGCCGCTCCTCCTTTGTGGCTTTATCTCAGCTCGTTCCGTGGGGCTTGTATTTCACCGTCTGATCTCCTTCATGGTGCCTGTGCGTGTTCCTGTCCTTTCCCGTTTTCCAGGCCATCACGTCTTCCGTATAATCTTTGCGTTTTGCACTGCCGCACTCGCCCCTTCTCTGACTTGTTTTCCTCCTCGTATACCATGGCTGTAGGGGGCTGCATTTGCCACATTTCGGTAGCTGATTGCTTTCCATTACGGCTTATTGATTACCGCCATTCGGTTACCGCTGCAACAGCACAGTGTGTCATCGTTTGGTTTGATCACTTTTCTCCGAATTTGATGACACCCAAACATTATAGTTGAAAGCTTTCATGGCATTTGAAAGCGTGCTGTAAATGTTTCAGAGCCATTTATTATCGCTTCCATAATGTGTTATATTGAAGTGATTGTGACGAGTTTCCCTTCCACCATGTGTCATATTCGTTGTTTCTGTGCTGAAGAGTAATTTCTATCCACTTCTACTGTTTCTTGTCCGGTTGGTTTTGCTCAGTCTTATGATTATTTCCTTTACCTGGAGCATATTTAGTTCGGCCACTACTGAATTACATATCCACAACGTGCACCAACACTAGCAGTAGTTCTTTGCTCGGCATCTAAATTATCATGCCGCACATTTTCGACGGTTGCCTCCTCTCCTAACTTTTCCCTTGTCATGTTTCGATCGTTCTTTTTCAATCTCCTCCTTAGGGCATGCCCGATGAGTGGCTGCAATGGCTACGAGCCGCAGACATCTCGGTGCGCGAACGCGAACGCAATCCAGAGCTGGTCATTGATGTCTTGCAGTGCTATGACGCTGCCACTCAACACGCACGCCGTCAAAAATTCATCACCACCAACCACCTTGACCCCAGTGAGAATCTCTTTTCTTCCTCACCAGTTCTACTTTCGGCATTTTCTGTACTCTTCTGATATTTGCATGCCCCCTTTTAGCTCATGTTCCGGCACTCACTGGTAACCTTCAGTCCATATTTTGTTAGACAGGGGTTTTGTGTCAATCGTATGGTTGTCGTATTATGTAGTTTAATTTGAAGTCTGGTAGTGACGATGTATATTTAAATTAATATAGACTTCTTGTTGTCCGAATTTCGGCATTAGTGGTGCGCTTGCAACCAATTTTCTCACCCAGAGCGATCGATTCCCATGTTAGTTAGTTTCTTATTTTGCTGCGTACTTTTCTCATATCTCTTTTTCCTTACATCTAAACGTTTGTCAGGCAGTTCAGTTTCTCCTGTAGTCTATGACAGCAGAAGTTCCCTTTAAACACCAACTCCTCAGTTTAGCGCAAACTCACATGGTCAGAGGTGCACTCTTCTCACCATGTGAACGAAGTCCACTAAGTCAACAGAGTCCTACCTCATTTTCCTTCAAGTAGCTTGAGCTTTTACGACAACCCAAGGTCAAATAAACGGGCTTTTATCCCCTATTGTTCGTTGTTGTGAACCGTATGAGTGCTTAACATCTTAGTCCACTTTTCCACCGGCTCTAGCAACTTGTTGTTCAGCCCCAATAATAACACAGTTTGACTACCATCTAGTCGATGATTGTGGATGGAAGCGCAAACTATAACATCCGTACCTTCATTTCGAACGGCATGGTTCACCAAATATTGTGGATATCTGCAATTGGGCATCGTAAAATACAATCAATAGACAACCCCTTTTCTTTTATAAATCATACCTCATTGTTAATGCTCACATGAAGGTGGGTATATTTGAGGGCCATACCTGCCTGTGCTCTTACAATGACCCTACATGCGTCGTGCTAGCATGTGCTCCATATCCTTCTCTCGCTTCTTTTCACGCCTGTTCAACACTCCGAATATTATTTTCGTTACTTTCGTTTAGTGGCGACCAAAAATCATCACTCATTGGCAAGCGTGACCGGTTTCCCTGTCCACTCAGGTGATAGACCTACGAGATTCAACTCGACCTCCCCCTCCTCTTTAAATGCGAGCTTGAACCACCAGCCAACTGGGTGTCTGCCGCGACGCAGTTTACTCCAACCGGCTCCACCCCCAGTCCCTCCTCATTCTACGAAACATGCCCTGGTACCACCAGAGCCTTCGTTACAGGTCTGTGCAATAACAGCAATTCACTGTCTTTGTCGTTATCTTCTCACTCACCATATCACTGACACTTCACGGACTTGCGGTGCACTCTAACCCTTAGTTACAGTGCGAACCGACCATCATTAGCAGTTTGAAAAATCCTCCCTTAATCACCCGTCTCTCATTTGACCAATGTTTGTCGTCATTCAAAGCCGCTGATAATATCTCTACGTCAGATCGTCAGCAAATCCTGCCTTTCATTGTTGTACTGACCATCGTGATACTTCTTACCGAATGTCATTTCAATAACTTCGATATCGCCTTTGTTGCACTTGCTCCTCAACATCTACTGTCCGGTAATTCCCAGGTATACACCCATTATAACTACTTTCCAGTCATTCTCAACACTGTGTTCATTTAAACGCCCTATGTTGCCTTCCTTCCGAGGTAACTGCATCCCGCACGTCTTCAGTAGGACCAATTTCTGCACGCGATTTGGATTAAAATGGACAATTACCCCCAAGTTGACTTCGGCATTTATCCCCTAGTCGAGATCTGTGTCATCATAATAGCGCCCGAAGGTGCATGAGTGATGCGCTTACCGTCTTCTCAATCACTTCGTATCGCCATGCTTTATGGCTTGAATGACGTATCGATGCTGTCTACTATACGACCGGTTTTAGTCAATTGAAAATAGCTTTGATTTTGCCACGGCTACCTAAGTTCTATAGGATATTTTTCTTCGGCACTCTAGTTAACTTTTGTTTGCTTAATTCCACTACGACTACCTCATTCACATCACCGTTAGGTTGCAAATGTTTCATCAAACTGTATGCTCTCTGCTGCGTGAAGGCACTTTATCTTCAGTTTAATTGAATGTGTCACTGAGCCACGTGTGTGTGACGTATCTCTGAAGCCTTTCAAAGCAATGCAAAAATGCTCCTTTAGCAATTAAACCACTTGAATCTCGGAATTTCGCGACGCCTAACGCAAAGCACCAGCAGTACGCAGCACACCATACTAACGCCTCGCCGCCAAATGACCATCAGCAGTCGTGCGTGCGCTGGGTATGATGACATGGTTGATGTGTTCTCCGAGCTGGACAATTTTGTTGCAGACGTTTCATTGCCAAGCTAGGCAACATCCTCAGTGCGGATATTAGGGTTTGATTCGCAGAGCCTCGTAAGCCACTGCTAGATTCCAGTGAATATTGATCGGCTCCTGCTTCGATTCGCTCACGTGGGTCGGTCAAGTGGTCGCACCTTCGCCCTGTCGATCTGGCATTTATTGTTGTCGTCACCTGCAGAGCTTCGTAGACACCTCGTTCCAGGTACTTGTTGATTGAGTTCCGACCCGAATGCCAGGCTTCGATGAACCCACGCGGCCTGCAGTTCTTCGCCCTTCCAAGTATCTTGGCGTTTCCCAGATCGAACTGATGGCCCTCGGCATTCATATCTACTGACATTAGTTACTTTTCATCATGCTGGCATATGGTCAGACTGTGTTCATGCAGTCTTGTACCAATTTTCCTCCCTGTCTGGCCCACATAGTACTTGTCACAACTTTTGCAGCAGCTTTTGTAAATCACATCTGATGTTTCTTCTTTACTCAGCTGGTCCTTTACCCTAAAAAGTTTACTCTGAGCGGTTTCTGTTGCTTCATGTGCAACGTTGATCCCGTGAGGCATTAAAAGCCTCGCTGCCATTTCAAAAATCCCGTGGATATAAGGTAGGACAATGATTTTCCTTTCCATTGCGCGGGTGAAAGGGGGTTGTGGTTGATTCTTCGACATCAGGCAGCGTAGAATAAAACTTTTAGGGTACGAATTCCGCTGATTCATGTTAAATAGGTGGTCTTCCTCCGCTTTCCTCAGTTGCAGCGGGCTACAGTGTGTTTGAGCCCGTTTGAAAGTGTCCTGACGCAACTGCGTTTGTAAATGGTCGGGTGGTTACTGCAATAGTTTAAGATCTGATCTGACAGTGGCTTACGAGGAGCTCCAAATCAAACCCTTATAGCCGCACTGGGGATGTTGCCTAACTTGGCAATGAAACGTCCGCAACAAAATTGCCCAGCTCGGAGAACACATCAACCCTTTCATCCGCACCCCGAGCTACAGGTATACTCAATAATTTCCTGGGTATGTTGCTCAGAATCGAATGAATGACCTACAACTTACATCACAAACACCTTATTGTTTCGGCCACCGGCCGACCCACTGAACGTGCTGGGGTATGTACCAATATCACGAATATTCCCTACTTCAAATGTGGCTACGAAGGCCGAATCAGCGAGTCAGCAATCTAAGTTCAACAAGTCCGAGCCCAATCTAAGCTAATATGACCCTCACTTTGCTCGGTCGTCTCACAGTACCGTGTTTGAATCCAACGCCCTTCTACTTGTCACTCAGCACAATCGCTGTTGAGTTATTCCCCGTTGTCGAAACACTTTAGCAGACAAGTGGCAAGTTCAACTCTCTAAGTACTGTAAATAGCCATTCGGTGTAAATGGTCTGGTTACGGAAGACTGTTTGTCTCTGCTTAAAGAGTAATTCATCTATCATTTGACAGTTAACTGGACTCATTTGAATCATGGTTTCTAGAGTGACTGCACTCCAGCCAGATTCAATGCGGTGCCTTCTTCAAGTACGCGCCCGATAGATGAGCATCTACGGCCGCACGTATATGTGAGCTCTGTAAGACGAGCGAGCGACCGAAAAACATCAATGCTTGTTTTACCGCAGACTAATCAGAGCCGACTGGATCCGTTCCCTCTCATAGGTACTGCAATCCTTGCTTCTCGTCCCAGTCAGCTGCTGGAGATGTCCCCCTTTGCATTCAGTTCTTTTACTCCATTTGTTGGGCTACTGGTGGTCACTCCATTGTAGAAGCAAAATCACTTGAAAGTATCGAATTATGGGCGCACGCTGATGTAGACTACTTTAATCGATCATGTTCTTGACACAATATACTGGTAGTCCCTGCATTTAACGTTGGTTATTCTGCAGCTGACGAAGTAGCCAGCCCAACTGATAGCCATACGGTTGCCTGAGGATGTGCTCTTTGGCTTACCACCTTTTGTGTAGTCACTGGACCTCCCCATCACGCAACCGAGTTGAGACAGCTTTATGGGACTTGCATCTTACTATGTGCTCATCAAATGTGTGTTTACCTAGTGCTTTTTTCTCGCAACCTGTTGTTTTCGTCCTCAGCCAGTGAATCTATCACCGACTGATTCCACCGGAGCATCTGCCACGTCAAATTCGCTCTCCTGTGGCGGATTGTCAGATAGAAAATCTCAGAGCATTTGTTGTTCTCTGGCACCAGATGATTTTATTGACTGTGGATCAGTTGGCAGCTTCTCTAATGTTTACTATGAAAGTAGCAGTGCAATTTCCGGTCAAGGGGCTGGAAGCGCTGACGAGCGAGATTCTGGGACAAGCGTTTTGTTGGCATCAACGGCTGCAGGAATTATCGTAGAGGAACCCTATGGTGTTGAGGAGCTGCTAACAGACACCAAACACCGGCGGTTGCAGCAAACAAGACGAAATTCGACGGCATCGATTCGTTTCAACACTGTGGGCCGCGCGGCAAACATCGAAATGGAACGTCATAAGGTTTGTGACTTCCCATCTTTATACTCTGTATCGTCTCACACGTATAATTTGATACCAAATATGTCGTTTTCGTCCATTTACCTAGCTGATAGTATTTGGTGCATGTGGACGTGAATCATCCCATCCTTGAAGGTCATTTCCTTCCATAAGGAGATCTGCTTTAGATGTGCCGATAAAAGTTCTGTTACAACAGACGTTCAACTTTTGTCCGTCTCTCACCGTCACCAGCATTAATCCGCTCCTTACGTGCTACGTGTTTCCTCTAATCACAAAATCCAGCCGACGGTGGCCTTCAAATTTTGCCATGCTTTACAATTTCTGCCCAACGGATTTACCAAGGCTCACACATTTTGGCAACTTCTGTTTTAATTTTTCAACACTATATTCTGCAGCTATCCACATGCTCATTTACCTTCACGATTCTTTGAAACTTTTACACATTTTAACGCAAGTTACTTTGTCACTTTCCCCTGGACAATCTATAAGTAATCAAAAAGAAACGAAGGACTTTTGCACGAAAGCACTGAGTGGGATCTAGGGTTACGCTGCGGAGAAAAATCTCCGAATTATAAGCATACATACTTGACACCAATCTCTGGACAAAGGTGTAGGTGGTAGTTGTGAATATTATCAACCAAGCATAATTATGGTACCAGAAAATTATCTTTACTTCGACATCGATGCTACAGTCATTGAACTTGACGGACTAATCTTTTATTATGCTGACCCCCTGCGTACAAACGGCGACCCTATCAGTGGCATAGTCACCGACCTCAGCACTTTATGGTACAAGTTGACGAAAAGCACTTTTTGCAACTATTCACAACATATCAGCTGTTTGCTCGTGCAATGCAAACCAAAATATCTAGACGGCTATCGTTCCATTTTGTTAGGTAAAATCATTATTTTAGCCATCTAACGTCTGGAGTTGAAGACTTTTACGACGGATTTACAGTCACTGTCCTTGAATGCCTAAAATTCGCTTTGCGCATATTCGCTTGCAATTGTGATAGCTTGGCACCGGCTTCACTGCAGATATCCGGCTAAAGAACATTGTGCATTCCCCAACCAGGTTAGCGACAGTCCTTGACAGATTATTTGTTTACACCTTGTAAAAACTTTCTGCCTGTACTCGGGCACCGCTTGTGATCTCTGTTCATTCCACCATGAAATTCTTCCCCGCGATCTTTAACAAGACAAATCACAAAGACCTCCAGTTGCAAAGATGGAAATTTCAGAGTCAATGCCTTTCTCAGAACCTTGAGCGACTACGTGGGAATATTGCTTCTATAACTTATTTCATAACGCGGATATGTCGAGGTATTGTGACCGAATAACCAGTTACATAAGCATCTGTCTAGAAATCTGATATCCTGTAGAAACCCTTTTCATTCGTTTATGCCGACGGGACTGGACCTTAACGTAGTGCTGTGGTTTGCTTGCCTCATGATCCATTGACCTATGCTGTGTGATGCTTTTCGCGCCTTCTCCGTCACTCATGCCATAAGGGTTAATGGTTAGTGGTCATGAAAGCTCGGTCTTCTGACCTTCGAGGTTGGGGGTTGTAGTGAAGGTGGCTCCCTGTAGCGCAGTGCCAAAACCCCGCTGCCTTGCGGTCAGGTTTTTGATCCAATGGCTTTCGTTGAGAACCCCAATTTTTCTGTCTAGGCTTAGGTAACCTGATATTATCCTGCTCACGCAATACGATAAACATCTCTTTAAACACTTCCTTACTTCTATGACTTTGCAGAGGAAAATCAACTGCGCCGTATCTGTTGCCTCCAGCAGGGTGGATAGGGGTTTTGGGTGCTACTGCTCAGGCCTCCCCGTCTTTTTATTCCGCTTTTTCATCCCTATTTCCCTCCGCTACTGCACTTTTATCCTCCTGTTTTTAACCCCCTAATTCATGGTCCTTCTCCCTCTTGCTTCAATAGCCGCCTATCTTTTAGTTTCGACGCACACAATCGCAAGGCGTCGCTCCATTCCACTCGACAAGTCCCTATTTCACTAAGCGGTAAGCGTCAGTTCATTCCTATATCTCCAGAGTCCTCGATGCTTCCTAAGACTGGCGAGCCTCAACTGGCGCACTTTGTTACATATTGGACAACAGGCAGCACTTGCCTGAACACTATCTAATTTCCCAGGCAAGTTAGTCCATGGTGCAACCAAGTTAGGCTTTGGAGATTTCAAATTCCTTTGTTACCCTTACAAGTTGGTCTGTCCATGCTTCGGCTGTGATTACCGCGTGCAACCTAGCGTAGCTGCCCTCATTGATCAGACTCCTTCATCCAATAAGATGTCGGTTTAAACATGGGGCTAAATGCAAGCATGTATAGGGCAAAAGGTTGCCTGTCGCACATGCCCGCGGGCACCTTGTCACCCAGGCGAGGACGGATTGCATGATGACAATGAGAGTGAAGATGCCTTAGGTTATTAGTTGCGAAGTAGGATGAACACGGGTCAACTTAGGTCTAGGGGTTGGTGCTTACTCCACCTTACCTTTATAACAGATCCTATCAGCAGAAAGAGCTGCTGTTTGTTTGCATTCAATGACGGCAGCTTGTCACTTACATATGACATTCTGTTGGCTGACGACGGCTACACAATGCGACAGCTGCGCAACACTGCGCGTGGTAATCACGGCCGACTTATGGGAGGACAAACTTGTAGGCGTAACAAAGAAGTTTGTAATCTCCAAGACCTAACTTGATTGAGTTATGCACTTACTTGCCTGTGAATTGCTATGGAGCCCCTACCGATCGATATTTGCTGTTTATCGGTAACGCACCTGCAGCATAATAATCATTGCCTTATCCGCGACATTGGTGGCACTTTCTCATTGCTTTTCTCCTGCGCTGATGCAGCTTCAAATACTGGTCTAGCCGGTGTGGGTTTTGCTTTGTATCCCGTTGCTCAAACCGCCCTGGTAGACTGGATTCCAATCAACAGCCGGATGTGCGCTGTCGGATTGGTCGGCTTGTTCAAAGCACTAAATTCGAGCGGAGAAAAACGGTGCTTTTTTGTGCTGCGTACGCGCCAACAAATTGTAGCACCGACTCGATGAAAAATGACATTTGCCGTTAAGTGATTGCTCTCTTTCGTCACTGAAAAAACACGCATACTGTGTTGCAGGCTGGTGATCTGAACGTTCATGTTGCCTCTGGGCGGCCAACATGGTGTAGGCTACCGTAATTATAATAGCGAGCATTTGCTAAACCCATGTGAGGTTGTTCGTCTTTTTCTCGCGAGCACTAACTTCCGATACAGCACCCACAGCAGATTGTTTTAAAGCCCGCCAGCCTCAGACCAGCGATAGAAGCAAATTGGTCAAATCACGATCCGTTGCCAATTGAGAGACTGTGCCTAGAACTGTCGCTGGATTTGGAGCACGAGCGTGGATTCTGATCACGGTCTTATGTGTGCCGATCTGTGATTGCGTTTCGTCGGACGCCCACAACGATGCTGTGAGCGGATACACACCAGCAGCCTGGCGCAACCAGGTGTTCCGAAAGCGTATTAAAGTGCGCTGGCATCCGGGATGAGTACGCGTCTTCTGAACGCAAGTGAAGTTCACTGGCTACAAGTTCGCTAGACGTTACTAGCTACTGGTATGTTGTCATGAGGGAAATCAAATTGCCAATGTGGACATTGGGTCTCTACGCAATCGGGAAATTTTCTATGCTCGCCGACTTGTTCCGGCTGGAAACGAACATAAAGCAACGCGCGAAGATCTTAGGTAAAAATTGCGTGCTAATCTGATAAGAGACTGCAAGGCGTACTAGTTTCGTCATGCCTCAAAGATGGAAACAGCCACTGCTGTTGGTAGCCATCGGAAGTTCTTGCATCTTATATTGGCAACGGCTTGAAGGAGACCTGTTGTTAACGAGACCCTACCTTACTAGTGGACAGCCGATCTGCAGCTTGTCAAAAAGCTTTGAGTGTTAGTCCAGACTGTTTTATCGGCAGTTTAAATAAGCTGACTTATCACCTTCAGGTATTGATTGCGTTTCTTTCTGGACCGTCCCCTTGGATCAGCCTTCACGCGCATAAGTCGAACGTGAGGTCAGACTGAAATTATATAAGGCAGCAATGGCGGATGGAGCTCCCTCAACACTTTTGAAGTCTAGGGGTATCTGCTGTTATTGATGTGTTACCAACTTTATTAATGAAGCTGTGGGAGCTGGACACTGTCCCAACAGACGGGAACCCTTCTTTTATCTTCCCAATTTTCCAGGGAGGTTCACGTTCGGAACGCGCCAACCATAGAGGAATCATTGTGATTTTGATTAGCTCTAGAATGTTTGCGTCCGTCGTTCTCCACAAACTGGATGGCACCCGTGAAAGCCAGATTCACGAGAGGCAAGCCGGGTTTCGTCGAACTCGAGGATGCATTGTCTACCACTTTGCCCTGTGTCCATTGTTGCAGCACCGCTGTATTTACTGGCGACTCACCGTTGTCGTGTTCCTAGACATTAAGGTTACCTTCGATTCGCTCAATCGATGTGCCTCTCTGGACTGTCTGCTGAATAAAGGTGTGCGCGGTAAGTACGTAAACATTGTCAGAGAGCTATACGCGTAAAATTCGGACAGATTGAGAATTTGTGGCAAACTGTCGCCACTCTTTACTATCCCCAGCGGTGTGAGACAAGGTTGCCCGTTGTCACCTTTCGCCTATAACGTCCCCATTGACTAAGTCTTGGAGACTGCGTTGGCTGGTCACGACCTAAAAGATGCCGAGCTGCTTCCTGGTGAGTGACTTCTTGATTTGGAATATGCCAACGACATATGTGACGGCTCGCATACGTGCCAAGCAGCACTGACTGTCAGTCGTTTCGGGCTATGTTTTGTTTCATCTAAATGCAAACTCCTTCAGGATTTTCATGGACCCACACCTGCTCTGACTCTTGTTTTTGATCAGCTAGAAGTCCTTCAGGAATTGAAGTACTTGGACGGCTATATTAACGTTCATGGAATCCTGTGCCGTATAGCAATAGCTCGAG